AGGGAAAGATGAGCTATGAAACCTTGTGTTAGACTTGATGTTTTGACTTTCCTTGGTGTTAGACTTTCTATCTGGAAAGTCTGTGCACTGGATTTTAGCAGATTCTTAGAGCTTGTCTGCATACGGAAGCCAGTGGGAAGTTACTTCAAATTAGCTCAGGTGTAAACATGTATATATTATTCACTCACCATCCTTGTAGACTCTACTTCTGCACTAGTGAGGCTTTTATATTGTTTAGGTTCATGCACTTTAGCTATTCAATAATAGCTATTCCACACGGGGTGTTCTTGGTTTTTCTCCATGCAGAGAAGTCCTTTGTAAAATATAGGAGCCAATTTATTTTAGCTGACTTGGCATCTGGATAACAATACTTAGTTTGACAGAAATGGAATAAAGCAATACTGGTTATTCAAAGAGCTGCCTAGTAAGAAGGAGTTATTGAGTTTGATAGAAAGTCAGAAAAATATTCAAGGTGTTTTTTAAAAGAATACTAAATGATATTATATAGAAAATTAACATCTCTCTCTTACATTTGTTAAAAGCATATGTTTATTTTAACAGAAAGCCATCAAGATTTCTGTGTCACTACTGGTTACTTAATTGAGATAAAGGTCAGATAGCTTCACTCTGGATCTGAGGTGGCAGAGGGTGCTGCTCTTTTAAAATAAAAGGACCTTTCCTATGACATGGGTGGTGTGGACTTGTGCAACAGAGCACTTGCTCTGACACAATTCACAGAGTATTGATAATGCCTTTTAACAGTAGCAAGCATTAAACAAACGGCTTAGCCCACTAAAGCAGAGCCACTTCACAGTTCATCTACCTTCTTTCCCTGTTCCAGCTCCATGCCCCAGGTCCTAAGAGTGCATCTGCATGACAGTCCATTGTTTTGGTCAGGCTTGGATTTTTAAACAAACTCTCCCATCTCTTGCTGAGACGGACCAGGATGAGCAGTTTTTAGACATTCTTGTCTGAAATCTGGTAACTCTCTGTTAATCTGTGAAGGTTTTCTGGTTCTCAAAGGAGCTGACTGCTCATGACTAATTCATGTGACCTACATCTGCATGGGAGCTTTAAACATATAATTAATGTACTTTGGCCACTGCTTCCCTTCAGCCTGTGACTAGCTCCTCTGGGACTTAAGGCTGATGCTGCCAGTGTCCATGTTAAATCCGTGTTACAAGACTGGTTGAATTGCTGTTTTGGAATTATCCAACAGAGCAGTAGGAGCCAGTCTTTTTGGTAGATGTGCCACAAAGTAGCTGGACCCTCTCTGAGTGCCACTCCAAATCCATTTCCCTTATATGATTTGCTCCTCTGGTTTCTGCTTCCTACCCCATCAGCCACTGTGCTGGCTGTCCCTTCCCTGATCTGCCATGTGCCATATACAAAGATTGCCCATGGCACTTGTGACATGCACCCCACAGGTTGCCTCCTCCCTTCAATAGATCAGTAAAGTGTTAGCACGTAGGGCACTCTGACGGAAGTCATTGTGTAGGAGGGTGCTCTATGCCTTCCTTCAGTCGGAAGTTCTTTCCCCTTTTTCAGTGCAAAAAATGGCAGAAAGCAGCTTTCCTATCTGCTGAGTCAAATTGTTCATTTCCCCATAATAGTGCTTTTTCTGCATATTTTTTTCTAATTCCAGGTGCAGCAGCTGTGGGAAGTGGTTGATTTGGGGGGAATTCATGGTTACTGGATAACTAGGTGGTGCCACACTCCCCCTCCCCACCCCCTAAAAATTCTGAACATCTCCCTCAATATTCCTGGAAACTTTTGATACTGGATCTTGTTGTAGGTTTTATATGACTCATTTCCCAAGGCTTCAGTGTTGCAGAGATACTGGCTAATGATACCACCCCTTTCTCCCCTCCACTCCCCCTCCCACCCACCCAACTAACTGGTGATTTGCCTTTTTCTTTATCGTGGAACATACAAGTTAAGGGTCAGGGTGACACCCATCATTTCAGAGCAGCCTTGGAGCATCAGAAATGTCACATTGGGAACATCAGTAAAAACAAACTCTGCTGTTACCATTTCTTCTTCTTCAACCATTTGATATGTACAGTTCCTGGGTACTCTGATCCACCTCATGCAGACTGTACCCAGGTGCCTACACACTGTGTAAACTATTTATTTATATCATGTCAATGCCCAGAGGCCCCAGCCAAGGCTTCATCATACTAAATAAAGCACAACAAATAAGGTAAGGGTAAAGCTGTGGTGTTGTGCAGCTATGGACGTGTTAGTGCTGGGGTTCCAGTGTTGACTTATCCATAGTTGCACCATGGAGCTGTACTAGGCTAATTTGTTGACAAGTAAGTAGAAAGTAGGGCAAGGTGGCACCCTAAAGACCAACTGGGTCAGAGAGGCATGAGCTTTCATAGAGGCAGCGACCTACCAGATGCTATGGTATTAGGTGTTGCTTACAAAAGCTTATGCCTCTGCAAATACTTCCTCAGCCTGATGAAGGGCATTTGTGCCCAAAATGTTGCTAAGAAGAATTTTTTCCAACTACTTAAGTTGGTCTAATAAAAGATATTGGATTTATCCACAGAAACTTGTCTGCCTTTGCCCCTCTGAAAGTTTCTCTCTAAGGTGCCACCCACTACCTTCTGCCTGTCTTCAGACTAACCTGGTTAACCATCTTGGTGCTTAGTTTGCTATTCTAATTCAGGATGAGAAAGTCATAACACAAGTTTCTTATAAGGTAATAGATTAGTGTAAATAGGCAGGAGGCTATGTTTTGTGGTTAAATTGTATTAGTGTGTTATCTAGAAAAGATGTACCTTTGGCATCTTGCTGAGGTAGGCAGCATTTCCTTTGTTTCTAGTAGCAGGTCTATACCAGAAACTTTAGCTGATGTAGTAGTGTCAGTTGGGAGAAACAATATTTTTCCAGTGCTTTACCAGCAAACATGTATGCACCAAGATAGCTTGCTTCATTTGAGGAACCTGGGTAAATTAAGCTGGCAATATCACTCTTACTGGCTGTGATTACCCTAGGTGGGTTTGCCTTTAGAGATACACTGTTATAGCTATACCAGCAAACCTTTTCTAGTATAGAATGCACCCAACAGTATGGACACATGAGCAAATGGTAACAAGGTAAAAGGGAGTGGGAGCTGACTATACATCATGTGCTCCTCTGCAGGATGTTTGATGTGTATCCCTATCCCATAGTAAATGGAAGCTATAGTGGGAAAGTTAAACCTCTAGGTGAATAGTCACTGAGGTTTAGCTTCCACTTACCAAGACATGTGAAATCACTATCGTGGAGTATCTGATGTGAGATTACCAGCATCTGATGCCTTCCCTGTCCCTGCCCCATCACTCCATATTTTGATCACTTTGTCTGTTCACAGCTAACGTTGATATAACTGACATGAGTCCACATAGCAAACCTGCCCTTGCTAATGGAATTATTCACCTGTCTCAGTGCAAACTATGAGCACTCCTTTTAGCCCTGGGGTTGCGCTCTTCAGAAGAAGAATGAGATGGCATTTTCAGAGGACATTTATAGGTTGTAAATCCTTTTGGTTGGGGACTGTCATTTCCTATCCATTTCTCTTGCCTCGAGAGCGGGCAGGCTCTAATCCGGTTGGCATTACATGCACTGCCTCTGCATGGTCATTATTTATGATCTGCATTTAGACCTGAAGAGAGATGGGTGAACCCCGACTAGGTACTGTATGCAGTTAGATGGTAAGGGTGTTTCTGCCATAGAGTCAGGGCGGAGCAGGGCTGGAAGGGAACACCACACACGCGCGCGCATCCTCTCCGCTTGTTCAGCATCCCCACGCGAGGCGAGGCTGCCCCCGCTCGGAAGCAGGTCCGTGGCGGCCGTGCGGCTGCAAGCGGGCGGGGCCGAGAGCAGGCCAGGCCAGGCCAGGCCCCGCCCCGCGCAGTGACGCCCAGAGGATTCCACAACCCCAGTTCCCTGCTGGAACGCAGGGCCCCGCTGGAACCCGCCCCCACGGCCTTGGAACGCGGCTGCGCGGCCGCCCATTGGCTGCAGGGGTCCTGGAGGGCTGGGCAGCGGCGTGGAGTCCTGCAGGCTGTTGGGGGGGAGGGCAGGCGGCGGCTCGCCCTGGTTGGCTGGAGGCTTCAGCTGCTTCCCGGGAACGCGGGGTGGGAGTGCAGAGCCTGGGCACGCTCGGCGCGCGGAGCTTTCTTGTGCCCGCCGCCTGTCCAGGATGGCTTGCGAGATCCTGCCTCTGCAAAGGTACCGCCTCCCCTCGCTGCCCCTGCTCACCCTGCCCAGGAGCTGCTGGCGTCTCCAGCCTTGGAGGCTTGGAAGCCTAGCGGGAGACAAAACCCTGGCTGGGACGGTCTGGCTGGGGCTGGTCCTGCTTTGAGCAGGGGGTTGCACTAGCTGAGCTCCTGCTCCCTTCCAGCCCTCATCTTCTGTCCTTCTGCTGCGCACTTATGACCTGGATCCCGACCAGTCCTGGCCTGGTTTCATAGTTTCACAAGTTTCCCTTTTCTCCCTGATGGAGGCATCAGGGTGCAATTAGAGCTTTTTTCCCTCTTTGCCCCGAGAGACCTTCCGTGTAATTTTTCCGTTCTGCTTGGTGCTGGGAAGCCCAGTATCCGCTCACAGCCAGGCTCGCTGCCTTGCTAAGAGATGCGCCTGGGAAGATTTACCAGCAAAGAGCTGAATGTCTGCGAGTCCTGCAGAGCATACCAGCCCAGTACCAGGTTTGCAGTCTTCAGGTGGCCTGTAGCAGGGCTTGTAGATCAGATGAGGGGGTCAGTCAGTGTATCTGGCTAGGGAGGAAAGAGTTTTGGGGGGGTTCCTTTGTGCATTCCTGTTTTAATACTTACTAAGATGTCCCCATCCTCCTGTGGGAGAGGAGGGGCTGTGGTGAAACTACTGAGATATTTGAAGGGATATAGGTTCATTTACTTTTAAGAGGCAACCCTCTGTGCCATTGGGTCTCAGTCTGTGGAGACTCGAGTCACCTGTCAAATGCTTAGTTTTCCCTTGTTTTTTGATGATGACAAAATATTACAGCATTTCTGGGGCAGAGAGTTGAGAGAAGACCACAGCAGGCTAGCATGGGTTCATTGTATGCAAAACCTCTGGGTTTATCTTGTGAATCATATTTGTATAACATAACAGTGCTACACATTGCGGCACCCTGGTTGAGAATCACGGCTCTGTGCTTTTGACAGTGTGTCTGAAGCTGAGTTAGATAGGTGTTTCCCATCACTTTACTATAATGGAGGACTGTAGTACAGTAATGAAGACCGCTAGAGGTGACCTGATGCTCCACATATATTCACCCAGACGTGTTAGGGGCAGTCTTTAAAATGGCCTTAGAAACAAGGAAGATTGTATTGTCAGAGAAGAGCTGTTGTGATTTCTTAGCATCCAGGTTTGCATCTGCTTAGCAGTGATTTCATTGCATGCCTGTTTCAGAACAATACTGGGTAAACAGCAGCTTTGGGGTTTGGGGGGGGGGTGGGGGGCGTTATGTGGAAATATGCAACCTAGTAAAAATAATTCTCTCTGTGTGTCATTGAACATTTTTACTAGCTGCTGTCTTTGGTTTCCTAGATACTGCGTTTCCCTCCCCCTTAACATCTATAAAAATATGGGGAATATTTATCTTTACATAAAATAAACAGCAGATAAGTCATTGTAATGGTTTTTCAGCACAGCACTAATGACCTAGCAGTATTGTTTTAACAAATGCTGTGAAGTTTCTGCCCGCCCGGGTTGGTGGCTTTTTTGGGGAGTGGATGTTCGAGTCAGAAACAGTAGTTGAATTTGTTGTCAAAACCTTGTCATCTTGATACTGTCTTTGCTATAAGGTGGAACAGGGAGAATTAGTTCTCTGCAGGTAGATGTGAAGGAACTCTGTTTTGCAGTAGTGCAGTCCAGAGGCTTCCATGTTGATGACTGCAGAGAAACAGAAATACTGTCTCTAGGTCTTCAACAAGAGTTAGTTACTGTACACATTTCCATTTTAAGGTCCTGTCTCCCCAGATTTCTCCACCCTTTTTCTTTCTCGGGGGTGCTGAGCGTTGCAGCTGCTTGTCAGAACCAAGTGCCTGTTGTTTGCACTCTATTGCAGTCTCTTGACTAGGTATATTCTCCGCTGGGGAAGTCTCTTTTATGGGACTGTTTTGGTTATGCTCCTTATTTTGTTGTTGAAATAATTTACTTGAGATCATGAGAAACCCCTGGTATTTGTACAATATACTAAAGTTGTGTTTTGGGGTTTTTTTTAAGGAAGCTTTTCTCTCTCTGATGAAACTGCATGTGTTGTAGAATCAGTTGAGCTTTGTAGTTAAAATAATAGAACAGATACCAGAAAATGTATAAACAGTTTCCTTTATTTCTACTTTACCAGCTCTACTTCTGACCTAATGGCAAATCACCATATAGTCCTGAGAACCTCCCACAATATTAGTTTAGGGATCATGCTATTTTTTTTCTCTCTGAAGCTTCTTAGTCAGTCTTTTCTTTTTCTTATGTTATCTTTGCTGTGGGGACAAAAGGCATGTGTTGGAAAAGTAAGGAGGGTGAGAGGGGGGTATTGTGTTTTTTACAGTGGGATGACTTATATTGTATCAGCTGTCCCTCTATACAATCCTGGAGGAGATGAAGCATTTACAATGTTTATGGTGAGGTATCTAAGTGGGGCCAGCACCCGACTCCCACCTGTGGATGATCTTGCCTGGCTTATCTCATGGTAAAACTACAGATCCTTTCCTTCTCCAAGAATTTACAGTGGCCTGGCCAAAATGGGTTAGTTACGTTACAACAAAAACTTACCTTTTTTGGCAATGAAGGCAAAGCCTTAGATTTCTGAGCATAGAGCTCCCATTGGCTTAGCTGACAGCCAGATTATTGACCTGAGTGCTGCTGTGCAGTCTAAAAGCTGGAGAGCACCTATGAAGTAAGCTTCTATCTCTGGCTGTCTTCAGAAGCAGATGCATTTACAGCAACAACCTAATGCTGGGTCCCAGTCCTACAGTCAGATGTGTTCAGGTGGACCTCTGTCCCAAGGACTGGGTCCTGTCAGCACCACATGGGGTGTAAGTTTTTGGGGTGCAGACTTGTGCATTTGTGCCCATACCCATCACAGTGGGGCCCCAATCAACTGGGCTCAGGAGGTGCTGTAATGCAGACAGTAATAATTCAGTATTTCCACATGGCAGGTCTATATAGCCTTAAAGGAAAATGCTGTTATTGCGCAGTTATGATCACTTAAAGTAGGTTGTATATTGAGTTATTGACTCTACTTGGATGTGATAAGATGTTATGTAATATATTATTACTATCGATCCATCTATCAAATGCATATGTATACAACTTACCTATCTATCTTGTCCATCTGAGGAACAGCATGCGATGGGGCATACAGTCTTAGTGAGGAATAGATACAGTACAAGTGCCAAGACTACAGTAAAAGATGGGGTGGAATGCTGAGTGCCCCTGGCACTCCAGAATCATATTTATCATGTTGCCAAAACCCTCTTAAAAATTCATTATTGCATTACTATGGCAGCTTTCACAAAAATGCCCCTTGCATGAAGGTGGTGGATAAGAATGCCCTGCATGTGATTATACAGCATTTTTGTGACCCAGTAGCTTCAAGTGGTTTTTTCTCTCTTGGCTAAATTAAATCAGTTGACGTAAGGCAGGGGTTGTCAACTGGCGGTACGCATACCCCTGGGGTTACTTTGAAAGGTCCCAGGGAGTATGTGGGGGTGGGCGGGGACAGAGCGCCACCACCCTGCGCCACTGCCTCACAGGAGCAGGGCTGGAGCGGAGGGAGAGCAGGGCCACACAGATGCTCTGCATCCAGCCACTTGCCACCCTAGGGGGGACACACTTATTAAAAAAATGGCCGCTGAGGGTACACTTATTAAAAAAAGTTGAAAACCCTTGATGTAAAGAATAAGGAAACCTTTCTGAATGTTGTTTTAGGCTCCTCTGAGAATTAACTGAAAATGGAGCTTGAATTTTTCTAACCTGTACAGCAGTAATTGGTCATGTGGACTAATTGTGATTTGCAGTCAGAATTAAGCCTGTTGTATTTATCTTCTCTGTTTTTATAAGCACAATGTATTGTATTTACCCAAATCCAAGATGACTTTGAATTTAAGACAATCCCCCAATAATTACATTCTGTTCATGGAAAATTTTTTATTATTTTCCATGTATAGAACCTGTAGCAGGGAAAGCAGTGGTGTGGGGGCAAGCAACCAGACCTCCACCCCTTGCCCCCTGTGCCTGCACCTGCCCCCCTGCTGTGTACCCTCCCAGCCACTTGCCCACACTGCTACTTGCCCCTCCCTTGGCCTCTTGCCCACCTGCTGCTTTCCCTTCAACCCCTGGCCATTTGGCTTCATGCCACTTAACATCTGTAGTGGTTCTGGGGCAGCACTGGTGGTGTCCCTGGCCCTGGGCTGGCCCAGTCTGGCCAGCCAGAAGCAATGGCAGCAGCTCTGAGCTGGGCCAGGCCAAGCCAGATCAGGGCTGGAGCTGAAGCTGGGGCTCAAGGTAAGCATCAGGCTGCATAGTCTCCTCTGCACTCCCCACAAGCCACATACCGCAGGTCTCTTGCATGTGACCCCCCAAATGCACAGTCTTCTGTGGGTACCCCCCACCACACCTCTTTTTCCCACACCACCCTGATATGGGGTAGGCAGCAGCTTGGCTCTGACTTCTGCTGCCCCCCTAACCCTGGCCCCAGAGCTGGGACTGCAACAACTACCTGCCTCAGCCAGTACTCAAATCCAAGATGAGCCTTTTTTTCCCTGTTGTTTGGATTTGAATGAA